TAGATTTTCTTCTTTTGATTTAATCCTTATTATCAGTCCTTGTTTGCAGTTGATTCCTATTTCTAATGGTACCCTTAATCATTGAGTGATGGTCAACTGTTAATCATAATGTGTTATTGTTCTATGATTGTGATTTTGTTTAAATGAATTCACGGTTATGTCATAGGGAATAAATGACCTTCAGCCGTCATGGAGGAGATGTGTTCAAGTCTCACCGCCGGCAGACTTTCGATCGCAATTTATTTACTCTATTCTATTTGATTTTCAGTACAAAAACATGGCATCAATCCATGAAATCCCTAACAGTTAAACTGAGTCAGGTAGGGAGATGCAGACTTCCGGGTTGGGGCCCGCCCTCGGGACACTAAGAATCAATAGGTGACATGGCTCAAAATTGTTGTCAGTGGCGCAGATGTATTCAGTTTCTGTAATCTTTCATATTCCTTTCTACCACTACTCATTCTGTTTCACTCTTATACTTGTCAGAACTCTATTGATTCTCTTCACTCATTTTCTTGTCTACCTTTGTGTGCTATTTGGAAAGTGGCAACTCGATTTGCTGCACTTCGCTTCCAAGTTCTATGTTGAAACCAGCCAGCCAGATTTTCAGTACTTATTTTGTACTTAAGAAATTCTCGAACTGTATAGCTATCTAATAGCATTCTTGAGGGACTCATCGGGTAATTGAATTCCTATTCAAGTGACTGTATCGTCAAATAGCTTGCTCTCATAACCTTAAAGGTCTCAAGTACGATCACTTGTGGAGTCGCAGGTGTACATTGCTAAAGAGTTGCAGTAAGTGGAATGAAACACTCATCCAGTGCTTCCAAGTGTACAATGATCTTTCCAACGGAATCTAACGGCTAAAATTAATTCAAATCCCCAAATGTGTTATGTGCGACATAATCGTTTTAACGGAAAAATTTTTTTCAAGTATTGGTTTGTAGGGATTTGGTTGATTGGTTACAGGATTTCATCATGAGCTGACATTGGTTAGAGAACCATTGGAAAACCAAGCTGGAAGTACTGGACAGCTGTTTCATCCTAGTCTGGGACTCTTCATCAGTACGCACCCACCAAGGTTCGAACCCAGGACCTTCTGGTTACAAGGTGAGCGAGCTCGTAGACCATTAAGCCACTGGGACCTTATCCAATGGCCCATGAATTCTAACTTCTGCCAATTCACGACATAGCGCGACCCCTAGCCAATGTCTCCGGCGAGTATTTGTTCTCACACCCGACCTGCTGCACCCTACTGTTCACGACTTCCCACTGGAACCCCAGGTAACGACCTACATGAATAGGGCAAGTGGCTAGTGAGCATCTTGCAACCAGAAGGTCCTGGATTTGAACCCCGGTGGGTGCATACTGCTGAAGAGTCCCAGACTAGAACGAAACAACTGTCCAGTACTCCCAGTTGGTTTTCAAATGGTTCTCTAACCAATGTCAGCCCATGATGAAACCCTGTAACGAAAAATTGTTTGGAAAATCCCTTTTGAACGATCTAATCTCTATATTAATACTTATTCGGATGTTTCCGCCAACTTTGTAATCATTATCCGTCTTCATATGAGACTGTATATCATTATTCTGACATTTACATGTCATATGCTGATTTGGACCCTATTATCTGCCTTCTCCTCTGGTTAATCTCTAATTTCAATGCTTCCCTCTTGGTAGTGGTTGTGTGATACATTGATAATCTGTAGTTTTATGACTACGATTTTGTTTGAGTGAAACAAAGTCATTCTAACCTTGGACTATTTGTAGGAAGTGTTGATGTGTAATTCTTGTGGACAGAGTTGTCTGCCTCACCTTGTTAGGGATAATCTACTTGGTTGTAAACACCCGTTTTGTACTTAGGCTGGGGTGTATAGCTTGAGACAACTTTGAATTTTTCGGAACCACACATTCTAGCAACGAATAATCATTTTTTTCTTTTCTATCTTTGGAGCGTTTTGTGACTGTGTGTATGTGTGTCTCAAAGAAGGTTTTTCAGTAAACAGGAGACCACAGAGATCGATTTCCTGCGTTCATACCACAACGTGTCGGCACTGGTTGTAACAATCGTTGCACCACCCCCCTCCCCCAACCCGCGATACATTAAGTATATTTATTGTCTACAGTGTCATCTATGAATTTACAAGATTTGAACAAGATGGGACACTAAAATGATCCATCTACAGAAAGCCAACTTGGGACGGACAGCTTACTGACTTTCACAGCCGGGTGCGCCTATATACAAAACGAAACCTGGCCCGCTCACTGAGCCACATAATCCTCAGTATTTGCAGCCTTGATACTATGGAACAGGAGCTAAACACTCTGATGAGAATCCTCCTCGAAAGTGGCTACCTAGAACGTTTCATCACAAAATCTATGAAACCTAAACCGCCAAAATCGCCCACACTCTCTGCTCTCAAAAGATTTCTTCACCTGAATCTACAATTCAGTGGAGATTCATAAGCATAAATACTGAGAAACCGCCTGTCCTGCTCACTCGAGAAAACCTTCTTTACGAATGAACTCCAACTAACCTTCACCACGAAAGCAATGATTCGCACGAACGTGAAGGATAAACTACTACTGTTGGTCAGCCTTATCAGTGTGCATCTACCAATTCACCTGCTCGTGTGAAGCTAGGTATGTCGGCCGTACCCAGCGTTTGCTATCCAAACGTATCGTCTAACATTTGCCCTCATGGTTTCAAAAAGGGGAAAAATTTTCTCACGAAGCTCTATTCTGGAACAATGCTCTATTCGAATCCGGACATTGAGCTAACCTACAAAGTAACTTCAAAGTTATCTACGGAATGTGTTGCAATTTCGCTAATTAGATTCTGTCACTTTAGTTTCTAACCAATTAACGAAGCTTGTTATCTATAACTTTTAATTCTAATAATTTTCTTTTCTTTTCTACGCTTTCTACATTACGTAATCTGCTAACTAAAATCTACAATTATGGTGACAAATCTTTGGAAATATTCATTTTGTTCCTAAGAAAATTAACTATATATATATATATACGATTGTACAGCCTGAGAATGATATCGCCGAAAAGATGAGTGTAACTCTTCGCTGAACGCCTTTTCTTTCTTTTTACTATTTTGACTACGGAGTGATTTCAGTTAGAGAACCATTGAAAACCAGCACTGGAGTACTGGACAGCCAGCTGTTTCATCCTAATTTGGAAATCATTGGCATTACCTACCCACTGAGGTTCAACCGAATCTCAGCTTGGTTATCCAGAGGAGAAAAGAAGAATAACAACAGCTCGATCCTCGAACACCTTGTCATTTCTGGACATCGAGCACCCCACTTGAATGCTTCACAGTGCTACACAGAGTCCTTCAATGTCGTGCAAAGGGACTTCGGATACGCCATCTGTACATAGCTGAAGCATTAGCTATTCGAGATCTGAAACCGGACCTCTGCGTCCAAAAGCGATACATACATTCTCTTGCCTTACCATGGCCAGAGTAAAGTTCTCACCACAATTTTGCTTCTTTCCTTAATTATGTAAGTTCACTATTATTATTATTATTTTATTTCATTAATACTTTTATTATCATTATTATTCCCATCATCCACATTTTATTACCACTCTATTACTGTTTATTAATAACATTACTTTTCATACATATTTTATACAAAAACACTTTATAGCCTTTTCACTAGTTCCTGTCCATTTTACACGGGCTTACTGATTATTCATTATCTCACACTTATTACGTCATGCCAACTTCTGTCTCCTTTCTAACTTACAATTAGTCATCCCTTCTTACACCTTACATTATGTAATACAATTTTCCAAGGACAAAATTTACCAGAATCCGTAGAAGTTAGAAATCATAGAGTGGGCATTAAATTTGGGTCGGATCCCAGTGGCTGACTGGTATACGAGCTAGCTCGCCTTGTAATCCGAAGATCCTGGCTTCCAAATCCTAGCAGTGGGTGCGTACTGTACGATGATTCCCAAGAGACTACGATGAAACAGCTGACGACTGTTCAGTACTCCAGTGCTGGTTTTCAATGGTTCTCTACTCTAACATATATATGTAATCAATCCGTGGTCAAATCTAATCTAATCTTTTCTTTCATCTATGAATGTGAGACCTCGAAAAGAAAGAAGAATTCTACAGACAACTACAGGCAACAATGGACAATACTCCAGCTGGTGACATTAAAATACTAATGGGAGACATGAACAGAGGTGATGAAGATTCCTGGCCAACACCACCAACAGCAACAACAACAACAGACAACAATCAGCATAAATGGAAGGAATCTGAAAGAAACAATCTCTTTTACCTACCCACCTAGGAAGCATCGTTTCAACTACAGGCGGACGGAGCTGACGAGGATATCAAAGCAAGAATCGGAAAAGCAAGACAAGCTTTCACTACTCTCTCAAGTCTGTGTGGAGGTCAACAGCACTCAGCATCAAAAATAGCATCCAGATTTTCAACTCCAATGTGAAGTCAGTCAGTGCTACTATACGGATCAGAGACTCGCACTGCGCGTCATGAAGAGCATCCTAAACAAACTACAGACCTTCATGAACAGCTGTCTTCGCTCAATACTCAAGATCAGATGGCCGGCCAGAAAAGGTCAGCAACAGAGATCTCTGGCAATGAGCGAAACAACCCACCAGGACCCGATTGTGAAACAAATAGGCAAGAAGAAATGGAGATGGGTTGGCTGGCCATACTCTGAGGAAACCATCAAGTGACATCACTAGACAAGCTATTGCTCGAGTGGAACCCGAAAGGGAAGCGGCGAGTTGGTCGTCAGTGTTGGAGTGACTTGGAGGAGGTCATGTAAAAACGTGTGGGCAGACTTGGAGCCAGGTGAAGACTCTAGCAGAGAACCGAACGCAATAGAGACGCACGGCTGAAGCCCTATGTTCCTCTAGGAATTAAAGGATACAATAATAATAATAATAATAATAATGAATGTGAGAGTGACTCAGTATTAAAAAGTATACAAGGGAAGTAGATTACCAAATTCATGAATATATTTCAAAAATCTTAGAATGAATCAACTTCAAACCACACACACACACACACGAATACAAACTTTCAGCAATGAATATTACAAGTGAAGAGGAGAATTTGGTCATACAATATATATATATATATATATATATATAATTCATACAGACATAACGAAAAACAAGTTACTTATTCAATATTTATAAATTATTATTATAAGGAAACGAAACAGATTTAAAAACACACAAAAAGAGAAAGAGACAAAAGTCAACAACTTATTTTGACTATTGATATGTGCAACGGCAGGAACAAGAAGAAGAAGGTGATAGTGATGATGATGATTATCTCGAAATGAAGCTCGAAAAATGGAACCGATTAAGTAATCCAGTATTTTTCAGCAAACTGAATTCTCTCTTGGATGATATGAAAACTCCCTCAAAATAAAAGACTATGTGGAGTGTTGATAATCATTGCGCTGTTGCAAGAACATTTTCATTCATACGCATTCACACATACACACAAACACACTTACGCACACACGCATACTAAAACACATACAGAGAAGTGTAGTGTAAATATCACTGATGGCGAAGGTCAGTTCACCATGAAAGGCTCAATTAAAAACCTTCATGATCACTATGAAGAGACCACGGCGACGATTACTTCTTTACTACTACTCGAGCTACTACTGTCATAGTTCTGGGATGATAACTACACTCTGAAGAATTCCATAGAAAGTCAGTTTTATTTACTTATCATATTAAATGAAGAAAATGTACATACTGAAGTGGACAAGTGTGCATGTGTGTGTGCAAATATGTGTTGGAGAGAATGTGAACAGCAGAGACAGCAAGAGAGAGAGTGGGTGATTGAGTGAGGCATGTAGGGACAGAGAATAGAAGGGCTAGGTTTCATCAGTATGTTTTAAATTTGTGTGTGTGTTTTTTTGTAAAGCTTTTTTTATATTTTAGAAATTCTGACTTTAATCAATCATTTTTGAAATGTTCCTCTTTTTTTCGCTTTCTTTCAACTCGTTTAAACAAAATCAATACAAACTGTGAGTAAGGCGAACATAACGATCAGCAACTGAAAGAAAAGGATAGACAAATTTAAAACATACACAATTAGAATGAGTTTAAACAATAGTTTATTTAATGTTCAATTATAGAAAATCAAAAGAAATGATTCAGCAAAGAGACTCTTTCCAGTCTACATAATGGTCAGCTGAAGCCTATGATCCAAAGCTTTCAAATGTATAAAAGGTATGTAGATGACACCTTTATTATTTGTAATAGTGATTGTAACTTGAATAATATATTAGATGTATTTTATGGTTGCCATCCGGCAATAGAATTCACACTCGAAATGGAGAACGAGTCTAGCATTCATTTCCTCGATGTGAACTTATCAAGGAGGACCGATGGAACTCTGAAGAGATCTATCTATCGTAAGCTGTCGTGGAATGGTCAACTGACAAATTTCTACAGCTGGATACTCATTGGTCAAAAACGAAACCTGATCCGGCGCATATGTAGCCCTGATGCTGTGGAAGATGAGTTATACATCTTGAGGAAAATCCTAATAGAAAATGGATTTCCACCACGTTTTATAGATAAGAATATACATTCAAATCCTACAAAACGTGAAATATCAACCGTACCCAAGAAAATACTTCACATGAGCCTGGAATTCAAAGGAGACTTAGTTTCCGATATCATATAAAGAAGGATATCACAGTCCCTGAAAAGAACATTCCCTGCTGCATCTCTGAGAATAGCCTTTACCAGTCGACCATTATTGTTCAATAACCTGAAGGACAAGATCCCGCTGTTGACCATTTCTGTGTGTGTTAATCAATCCACCTGCTTATGTGGACCTAGGCATATCGGTTGTTCTACTCGAGTTTTGTCCAAGAGCGTGCAAGAACACTATCCTAAATGGTGTTTACGAAGACGTCGAAGTGGAGCAATAAGAAGCGCGATCATTGAACATGTGATCGATAATAGTTACCATATTTCTTCAACCTCAGCCTTTAATTTCATCAAAAAGGCGAAAAATAATTTGCCCAAATCACCGCGTATCCAACTTATCTGTATTGCTAAAGCCACCTTTGGCTATCGAAACAGAAAAGGCAGATCTCTGTGTACAGAAACAGTTCGTTCAACCCCTCCAACTTTCATGGTCATAATCCCTCTATGCTAAAGTATGGTAATCCCCAATCATATTTTAGCTTTACCAATTTTTCATTTTTGTCTATTCAATTTGTATACTCTTCCTTAATAAGTCAATTGTTACTATTACTACTCTCACTTTTAATTGTCCCCGGTATTATTTCAATTGTTCTACTTGTCATTCGAAATCAATTCTGTCTTGCAACATTAAATTTTATATTACCAAACCTCACGCAATATTACGTAACATTTTTATTTTATTCGATTTGTCTACTAATCTTATAATTGCACACCCTTTTTCAAGTTCTATCCATCTTATAAATTATTCTATATATGACAGTAATTTGCTTTGCCACTTGACATTTAACTACGATTATAATCAGTGGTGCAGTGGTATAATGTTCGCTAATCACGCGCGCTTAGTTTGCAGTTCGATTCCCGGATAACGCATACTCCTCAATCTCTCCTAGCAGGTAATAATCCTGGGAAAGAGGGAAGGTTGGGCCTGAGACTAGTCTCCCTACCCCATAGGAATTTACGAAATACCACTGCTAGTGAAATTTCAAAGCTTTCAAACCCTGTGTCCTACTGGAAACTCAAGCCTACTGTTTGGTTTCCGACCACTGAACATCAGGTGTGATCAATTAAACCTCGTCTAGCTGAGCTGGTCTTAAACCTGGAAAGAAGGAGATGTCGAGATATGTGGCCAGCACCTCCACGTCTATGGAAACTTAAAAATCTGAGAGGAAGTAAGCCTGTTTTTTTCTAGTGGAATTGAGAAGACTTCTAAATTTGGGAAGGTGGTCGACCGATTTATTTTCTTCCGCTGAAAGTTGAAAAAAAGTTTGGGGACATGGAGTGTACTCACCATGCCTCAGGCATCTCAGATTGCAGATGAAATAAGAAGATATGGTATGGTGGAATTGATACAGCGTTACTTGAACAGTCAGTAACCTATTCCAGTCACGCAGACGTCAATCACGAGCACACTGAGAGTGTAATTATCAAGATTTCACCAGCAACATCAAAGGTTCTCATAGGGATTGTTGACAAGACATTCGAGTGTTATCACATGCCAGGCCATTGAGTGGAAACCGAATGCGAAGTGACATACATGAGACTCTCCAGCTGGGTGTATCTCAATCTCAGTGAGTATTGGCGTTTACGCTAAAACTGTTGACGTTTTTATGCACAGCAGTTTGGCGTTTGAAAAGTTCGCTGCGCTAGAGTATTATGGAGGACTAGAATTCAATAAATCTCTGTAGTACAAGTAGATCCAAACAGCTAGTTCCGAATAAAATGGAACGCGTATTATGGATTCTATTGTTATTTACTACCGATCAAATAACATTGTGTACAAAATATTTACAAGGACATAGATCAACAGGGTGAAAATATCGGCTCCTACTGCTACTACAACACTTGAACAGATCTGCCTATTTCACTGTTTAAGTTTGCATAAACTATTTGAGCAGTTTACGCGCCTACTTCATAATAATTTGACTTCAAGTGGAGCATACGGCTTTAAGCCTCAGAAGCCATAGTGTTGTTTTTTAACGGGGTGGTGTTGTCAGCCTCTCCCTAACCTTCCCAGTTCATCTGGCGTACTACCGGCTAAGTGAGGATTAAGAGTTCGTCGGATGGAAACTGAACCATCGACCAAATATACCGTTGCCCACAATCCTCTTCTGACCCAATGAAACAATATTTACTTCATATAAGTGAGTCGAACTGATTAGGCTATCTCATTGTAATCAACCTGGGTACACCACTGATAAGCTCGATCCTAAATAGATGTAGATGTTATTTAGCGTTTATAGACAGCTTTGTTCTAGCTAGTGTACCCTAGCGGCTGACTTGATATTAAATATATTACTTTTCTTGATGGTCGTGACACAGTACTGTGTTCACTACTCGTATCCAAGGTCACTGACAGCACACTTGCAATATTAAGGTTCCCTGTTTGTGTCTTTTTACCCGATAAAAGGCATGAAATTAAAACTGTTCAAGTCGTTACGTTTTAGAGATTGTCAAAGTATCCCCTACATTGATTTGATGATATAAGATGGTTGGAAGCAATCGGCAGGAAGCCTCAACTGACCTAAGTTTCGTACTAGTTGGCACTCACCACCTTGAAGTAACTCATGACCTTCCTGAGATTCTAACGGGGGTCACCCAGTGCCACTTGCAGTCAAAAATGTTACCACTGAGGTTCGCGATTGACCTCCTGTAGGACTGCATTAAATATTTTGATTGGACACCAGTAACTAGTGATAGAATTCAGTCTGCACCAAACAAAGGACTAGACACATCACACTGGTTACTGACTAGTGTCCAGTCAAAGTGCTCATTACGTTCCTACAGGAGGAGGTTGGTCACAAGCTCGAATAGCTCAGTGGTAACATGCAATAATGGCTGACTCAGGTTTGAATCTCACCGAAGATATACGTTCTTTTGAAGGCTACAGGCACACACACCTTGCTGACTGTTAAATGCCAACAAGCACGAAACCGAAGTCATTCGGGTCTTTCTGTTTATCGCATTCTAAGTAGCTAAGAACAAGGAGTAATTTTTATAATAAAGAACGATTACTTCTATATATAGTATATATATATATATATATATATATAGTGTTTTGTTTTCACTATCTTTACTTACCAGTAATATGAATACAGCGATCAAACCAAAGGCCACAAAGTCCATATACTTTAGGAAAAAGTGTTTCAATGGTTCCTGACAGCCAACATTAAAATTACTGTTATCTACAGTAAATTCCTTTGGGCATGTCTTCGAAACGATCACGTACTTTTCAGTCATTTTACAACATACAACAGGATAGGCCAAATCTGGAAAAAATTTTAGATAAATGATCCAAAATAAACAACAAATGTTATTCAGTCTCAATCTTTAAATTCATATTTCAATTGTTCGTTAACAGGGATTTGATCTAATTGGTTACAGGTGGTGGTTAGAAAACCATTGGAAGGGTAGTATGGAGTACTGGACAGTCAGCTGTTTCGTCAGTCTTGTTGTTTGGGATTCTTTATTAGTACGCAATCCCTGGAGTTGGAACTCAAGGCTAGCCAGTTCGCAGACCGTTAAGCCACTAGGACCCAACCCGATTGCCGGAATCATGAATTCCAATTGCAGTTCAATTCACGATATGGCAGTTTTTTTCTACGAAACCAATGATTCGCACGAACGTGAAGGATAAGCTTCCACTGCGGGCCTCATCAATGTGCATCTACCAATTCACCTGCTCATGTGGAGCTAGGTATGTCAGCCGTACCCAGCGTTTGCTATCCAAACGAATCAGCGAACACTTACCTTCATGGTTTTATAAAGGAGAAAGAAGATTCCCACGCCACAGCTCTGTCCTAGAACACTTGATCGAATCCAGACACCAAGCAAACCCATAAAACAACTTCTCAGTTATCTACACAATACGTGGGAATGTTGCCAAAAGAGTACGAATTAAACTTCTTCAAACTGCAGAAGCAATGGCAATTAACATATTGAATCCTGAACTCTGCATACAAAAGAAGTTTGTTTAGTCACTAAATCTACAATGGTCCTGATCTATATTAACACCAAATACGTAATTTTATCTTACCTCTTTCTTCTTTGTTTGTCTGTTTCTTAATTGCATTATTTTCTACTCCCACCTTCTATTAAATCTCTACCCTTATGACGACTGTTGCTAACTCCATTTTCGTTTATTTTTAAGCGAATTCTACTCAGCTTATTAACTTAACTCTCATTCATTTTCAAGTGAATTCTACTCAGATTATTAACTTGACTCTCATTCATTCTTCATTGAACCCTATCAATTAGATTACGTCACCCAACCTACTTTCGTAGTTTCTACTTTTACTTTCTAACCGATTAACGCCTTCTAAATTACGTAATTTGTTGTCAAAAAAATTAACAATTACATTAACACATCTTTGGAAATATTCCTTTTGCTGCCAAGAAAAAAAAATTACTATAAATTTGCGGTTTGTACAGCTTGAGAATGATATCGCCGAAAAGAGTAACTCTTTGCTGAACGCCTTTTCTTTTCTATGACTGAATGGGAATTTTCAAATTTTCTGTATTTATCAAATATGTCACTTATTCATTGGTCTTAGAAGACATGTAATCCATAGAGCTACTGTTCATTAGCTTAGAACAATATGACCACAGTATTATTAAGTATTATTATCATTCTCTTAGGTCGTGAGTAGAATACAGGGCTTCAACAGCACATCTCCATTTCATCGTATTCTTTGCATTTGTCTTTAGCTAGCTGCACAATTTCCTATAGGCTGAAATCTCCGACTCAGAAAGTCACCTTCATGTCACCTACATGGGGTTATTTCCACCTAGTCGTTACGCATTCACGTTCCATTTAGGAGACTGACAGGTAAGTGATGTCACTTAACTGTCTCCTCAGCAAGTATCCCCAATCTATCTCCATTTTCTTCGCCATATTGGTTTGACGATAAGCTGACTGGCAAATTCACTTGTTGATTAGCCTTTTCGGACCGTTTATCTGGTCTTCTGTATTGATAAGAGCCAAACACGCCAAGTTTCTGAGCCGCATAGAAGAAGAGATTTGACAGGTATAATTATCCCTTCTTTTTTATTGTCTCTGTTTTCACTTCAAACGGTATCTGGTCATATTTCTATTGTCCCATTTACTATTATTATTATTATCTCCTTTAGTTGCTAGAGGAATTTAGGGCTTCAGCCGCACATCTCCATTGCATTCACTTCTCTGCCAACATTTTCGCCTCTCTCCACAAGTCTGTACACATGCTTTCATCTCCTCTTCACATCACCTCCTCCTCATCCTACATGTCACCCTCACACTGACGACCAGTTCGCCGCTTTCCATTTGAGTTCCACTCGAAAGAGATAGAGTGTCTGGCATGTGATGTCACTCGCTTGATGGCTTGTTTTCTCAGAGTATGGCCAATCCTCCTACCTCTATTTCTTCCTGCATATTTGTTGTGCACAATCGGTTCCTGCTGGGTTGGTTCGCTCATCAACAGAGATCCCTCCTTGTTGGTGATCTGTTCTAGCGAGCCATCTGATTTTAAGTAGTACTGAGCAAAAATAGGTGTGTTGATGGAAGTCTGTAGTTTGTTCGAAGTGGCCTTCATGACACGGCGCAATACCAAGTCTCTGATCTGTATAGTAAGTAGCACTGACTTCACATTGGAGTTGAAACTCCGGATCTTATTTTTCATGCTGAGCGTGCTGTTATCTGCACATAGACTCGAGAGTAATGAAAGCTTGTCTTGCTTTTCCGATTCTTGCTTTGATATCCTCGTCAGCTCCGTCCACCTGTAGTTGAAATGATGTTTCCCAGGTCGGTAGGTAAAAGAGGTTGTTTCTTTCAGGTTTCTCCCATTTATGCTGATTGTTGTCTGTTGTTGTTGCTGCTGCTATTGGTGGTGTTGCTCAGGAATCTTCATCACCTCCTCTGTTTTCTCTATGTTCACCTGAAGTCCTATCTTTGATGCTTCTTCTATCGCCAACTTGTTGCTTTTCACTTGCATATCTTCCAGTTTGTGGGAAATCAGACATCTGTCATTGGTGAAGTCCAGATCCTCCAAGTTTTTATATAAAAGATTTTATATAAAAACACTTTATCGTCTTTCCACTAGTTCCTGTCCATTCTACACAACTATGATAACTAGTCATTATCTCACACTTATTACGTCATACCGACCTCTACCTTTCATTCTAACTTCCAATTAGTCAACCCATCTAAGTTACACCTAACATTCAAAATAATACGTTTTTCGAGGACAAATTATCTCAGTATCTGATTGGTACATCTGTGTACAGTAGTTTATGAAAATGAATCGTTGAAAAGAAAATTTTCCTCCTATGTTCACGTCTTTTTTTCTTATGATTTCCATATAAAAATTTAAGATGATCGTCTTTGATGAATTAATGCTGTTATAAATTACATATTTTGTCTTTGGAGAGTATATCTTAGGAGTGTGTATTGCTGTCGGATGGCAGTGATAGGGTATTTTCATATTTTTGATATAATTTATACATATTGTCACCTAATAACACGGATTCTTTCACTCTCGGTTGTTCAGTCTCTCTGCAATATGCAACCATTACTGGGAGGAGTTTAACAATCTATGCCGAAGAACACATTGATCGGTTACCTGTATTCAAGAGTTGGTTTGTAAGGATCAGATTTGTTTTTACGAGTTTGCCCACGGATTGATGATATCAGTTAGAGAACCATTGAAAGCCAGCTAGGAGTACTACCAGACCGCTGTTTCATCCTAGTTTGGGAATCATCCCTGGTAAAAACTCGTGCAACCAAATCTAATCCTTACAAATCAACTATTGAAAATTAATCTGATGCTCGCTAGTGACTTGACAGGAGACGAAGTTGACTGGAGTTCTAGTGAGAAGTCATCAACAACAGGGTCTATACAGTCACGAGTGAGGATGGAGTTCCCGTCGGTAATATTGGTTGGTGGTCACGATAAAATAACTGATTGGTGGAAGTTAGAATTCATGGGCTGACCGTTGAATGGTATACGAGCATGCCTTGTAACCGGGAGGTCCTAGGTTCAAACCCCAGTGCATGCGTGCGTATTGCCGATGATTCCCAAACTAAGATGAAATAACCAAATTCTGATCATAACATACAGCTTGATCTAAAAAAAAATTATTGATTAAATTCAGCTGTCGATATTAGAAAATTACATAATCAGTAGAGGAGAGCAAGAAAAACTTACCATAATAGCTTTCACCACCATAAGTATCATTTTTCTCGAAATTGCCTGATTTCTGGAAATCTGATCCATTTTGTACACCACAACACTGGAGCTGTAAAGGTGAAAGATAAAAGTTTATAATCATTGGGATGTTTTATGTAATCCACAACCATACATTATACAAATACATAGACAAATACACACGGAGACATATATACACATACTAAAGGTGGCCTGCTTAAATCATTGGACTAACAGAGTCACCATTCACTAAACTGACGGGATTCTTTAGCTGTTTCGTGTTGTTTTAATCATGTAATTATATCAGCTGATCAGTATATGGATTCGCGCGCGTATTTAAAATTAGTTTTCAATGAAATGTTGCCTAGTGCTTCATGGAAATGAAGAAGAAAAAACAAAAAATCTACAGAATATGGTTCTCTCTTCAATATGCATGATTTACTTCAGAGGATTACTTTACAATTAAATCCTATGCGACGACGAAATAATATTTTGGAACGCTGAGAATTTTTGTACTATTGTAACGACAGAAGACAAGGGCCAGGCAATAGATCGTTTACTGAGAAAATCAACAGATATTTATAGATTTCTATGTACATTATTATTATTATTATTCGTTATTACTAGCAGAGAAACAACGTCTTCTGATTGGTCGTTTTCTCACTGAAAGTTAATCTGTCATCTCTTGTGACCATTTCTTTGAAGGTCAGACCATATATTTACTGATGGTATCCACCCACGCAAGGTCTGCTGTGATTGGTTGCTGAGTTCGTCTTTGTTTATGTTTTTTTCTCGTGACCAAGATACAGGACGTAAACATTGACGTAAATTGCTGTTTACCGATTTTGTATAGCAGACAGCTCTCACCACACTATGTGTTCACATATTGTCTTAAATAAAGCCTTATTAGTTATTTTATGAGTAATATGTCTAAATTAAACTATATTGATGTCTAATTGGGGAGTAGTTTGAGTGTTTGCATGCCTTAGCAACATATCGCATACTAAGAGAAGTTGGAATTCATGGGCAGTAAAGGGTTGAGTCACAGTAGCTTGTAGCTCGCTTTGTAACGGTGATGTCTTCGGCTAGAACCTTGGTGAGTGCTCAGTGCTAGAAGTGGAGAGTTGTTCAGTAGCTTCCGAATTTCTCAGTGGTTCTCTGACTGTTGTCAACTCGTTATCAAACCTATATCTCATTGGTTTCTGCAGGCATTGACTGGCATGTAACGTGTGATGTCTGACAAAATACAGACGAATGAACTAAATAACGCAAAGATTCATAGTGTTATTCAAAAGTTTAGTTTTGCAATTTAACCCAGAGGCTCTTGTGCAGCCAGTTACATTGGGCATACAACTTAGTCATTTTCACTCATCCTGCATGGTTAAAAGCAAGGCACAACACAAGGTCTATTCGTAGTTCTCTTTTAATCGGAAATTGTAGATATTGAATATAAATTTGATTTTAACAAAGTAATTCAAATTATCTAGCGTATTCTGAAAGATCTTAATTTTTCCCCCAAACAGTTTGTCTATTACATATTATTTTGAAGGCACTATTTTTGTCCACTTGGTGACCGCTATCAATCAAAGGAGCCAAAATAGAACTTCGTATGGATTTTATTTGACCTTTTCCGAACCATGAAGGAAGATGCTCATTAATGCGTTCGTTAAGCTGTCTAGTTGTTTGCCCTATATAGCTAGCTCTCTCCACAGGAGCAACTAAATTTATAGATACACATAGATGTGGCACAGCTAGGTAGCTTGTCTTTCACTTGAGCAATCATAATTGGTCGGCAGCTGGAAAATGACAAAGAAAGTGTGGCGGCAGTATAAGTCCGTTTCATCGCTCTCGATAATCTCAGATGTAAGACTTCGCTAGCCACGTCCCCGTTAAACTGCAATGGGCATGAACAGTTGTTTCTTTTCAACTGTTGTCAGTTTCTCTTTATTGTACTTGGTGTTCATGTGTCTCCTTACAAATTTACTATAATAACCCATTTGGACCAACGTATTTTGGATGTATCCTAGCTCATTTTCTAGGGAGTCATCTGTACAAATATGTCTTACTCTATTCGTAAGGCATCTGACAAAATTGATTTTGTATCGGATTGGTACAAAACTGAGGAAATGTGTATGTCGTCCTACAGATGTAGGTTTTCTATTGACATCTCTCTTGAGTGAACCATCCTCAATTCTGCTCAATTGGACGTCAAGGAAATGTAGTCTACCATCATGTTCTTCTTCACAAGTTAAGATGAGCGATGGATGTGCATCATTAAATTTTATTAACATTTCATTCTTGTCAGCTTTCACATCAAGAATAATGAACGTATCATCAACATAGCGAAAATAAGAATCAGTTTCATCTATTACTTTTTTCAATGGACCACTTTCAACCGTAGGATGAAAGAAATCTGCCAAATTGGCCCTAATGAAGAACCCATGGCAATACCGTCGATTTGCCTGTAGTAAAGGTTGTTGAATCTGAAGTGTACATTCACAGCACATCTTAAAAGCATCTCTTTCAGACTAATAACTGAAATTCCGATGTGGAACTGTTTTTCTAGTATCTGTTGGCATATGAATTCCACAGTTTCCATAAGTGGTACATTGGTGAACAGTGATGCTACATCTAAGGATAGCATTTGCTTCCCATTTACATTGATATCATCTACGTTGGCAATGAATTCAAAAACGTCTTTAACACTATGATTTACTACCATCTTGTGTAACGGTTGGAGGAGTTCACCTAGTCACTTTGACACTCCATGGTAGGTGGAATTAGATATATCTAGGACAGGGCGAAAAGGAAATCCTGGTTTATGTATTTTATGTATATATTAGCTGAGGTAGTTGGAATCCACCTGAAGAAGGCTGGCTAACTTATAAAAGTTCAAAAGAAGGTCGTTTAGACTCTTTCCCTACCTGTATTTTATTTTTATGTCTATTATCACTTGTACAAACGCTTTTATGAACTGTAATTCTATTGGTTCTCTTTCTTCGAAATGCTCATTACCAAAATAAAATATTTAGACTATCCAATATGGAAACTTCGTGTGAAAATACCTACATCTGCTTAGACTTCAATGCATCTACTCTGCGTGAAAGTCGGTAAGGTGAAATAAACACTATGGTTATCTTCACGATATTTTTAGTACACTAACTAGGGGATAAATATATTATGAGTTAGTGTCTCTCATATTTTGTGATCCATACACCAGACATTTGACTTTAACGTAGGTTAAAGTTCATTTGAAATAGATAATATAATTAGCAACCATTTCGGAAATTTAATGCCTCCTTCTTCTTTCGTCTTCAGTTATTCAGTCAGTCAGTCAGTCTTCTGTTTCTTGTCAGTGTATGAATAGTAGTCGAGTAAACATTTTTATGCTGCAGTGAGCTGAAGTACTAATAGAACGAATCCAAAATCCAGCATTATGTCAGTAAAAACATACAGGGCGTCGCTGGCTATTGACAGGGTGCCTGCTAACCATGCAGGTGGTCCGAGTTTCAATCCCCAGCGGACTGACGCCTTTCTCTCTCTAAGCTAGTAATAGGAATGTCAAAAAGGGAATGTTGGACATGAGGTTAGCAACCCTATCCCGTAAAAACGAACACCACTGTTACCAAAACTTCAAAGCACTAGCTTGAAGCTCTATATTCCACTGGAAACTTAAAGGAATAAGATAAGAAGATAAGAACAACAAAACTGATATATTAGTGTTCCGTGTCATTTTTATACTTTGAGATGGAGTCGAAAGTATAGATCAAGTACTGATTTGAAACTATTACCTGTCATATCAATACCTAATGATAGCTCTCTCTCTCTCTTAGCTTAACTAATATTCATGACAGTTAGGTTCAGTAATCCACTGTCTATCAACCTCACTTGGTCAGTCCAGTCACGTGATTCTTCTGCATCATTTAAATGACGATCAACTCTAGTATATAACGACAGTACAAGCAAGAGGCATGGTGAAAGCCTGACTACTCTATTTTACTGGCCATTGAACCTATTTTTATTCGGATTAGTGCCGCTCAAATGAGTTTGTTCACAAGCATAAATAATCAATAGATATCAGCTGAATCAATGAGTAACCTCCATGTTCACACAAAAAAACAGAATATCCATAGAGTCACTACTTACCTGAGGTGAAACTAAACCGACTATCAGGCTGTCAACTGTATTTGCTTTCATCGACTTGTAATTGTCTACACTCTGTTTGAATAAATCGATCACTTTTTGTCCAAGCTGAAATAATTAAAGTGGAAAAAGCATAAATGGATAGATAAATTTATTGTTATTTGTATCTGCCTACTAATTATTTGTAAGTAGGTAAGCTCGAGTATATATATATTTATAGAGGGTGCTGTGGGTCTAACAAGATAATATTCGCTAATTTTCTTGCATATATGTTCAAGTATCTGTTCACAGCAGCGCCAAAAAGGTTGGCTTAGCGACACTTCACTTATCCTACTGAAGGTGTTTAGTGCCCTTCGCAGTGTAACAAAGTATGTATTTGTTAAGTAGCCCAGGATGTGCGTCGGTGGCACAGCGCTGGAATGCATGCCGACTACACTCGGGGGCTGGGGTTTGCTCACCAGCTGACGCACTACTTTGCCTCGCTAAGCCAGTAATAAGACTGGTAAAGAGGGAAGGTTGGGTATATGGCTAGCAACCCTATCCCGTAAAAATAATCAATCACCACTGCTACCGAAACTTCAAGCCTATAGCTTGAAGCCCGTAAAGGAAATTTCTTCACGTACATTTTCAATCCTTTACGTTTCAGTTGGTGGGATATAGGCCTTCGGGCTTGAGCTCTGAAGTTTCAACACTGCTGCTGTTGTGCATCACACCTAATCTTTTGCATCTTTACGCAGGTTAATACCAATAATTACTAGCTAAATGAGATTTATGAATGCATTGATCTAGAAGGGAACTTTGATCACTTACAGGGTGATTAGCTGGCTACCAAAGAACTACTGGAACCCCCTACTAAGGACAATAATTCACCAATCTGGTGTTTCGCAACAGGCTGTTGAAAATATTCTTGATGACCCTCCAAGTTTCTGATCTGTATAGAAGAACTGACTTGACGTTTGTATTGAAAATCCGAATTTTGTTGTTGATGCTGAGTGACGAAGATTTCCAGATTGGTTTCAGGCTGATGAATGTGTTTCTCGCCTTCGCGATTCTCGATTTCACATCCTTGTCCGTCTGTTCCTCCTGTAGCTGAGACGATGCTCCCTAGATAAGTGAAAGAAGTAACTTCTTTCAAATCCTTCCCTTTGATGGTGATTGGCGCTGGATGTTGCTGTTAATGGTTGGTTGGTTATTTTCATGACCTCCGTCTTGTCTATGTTCACCTGGAGTCCTGTCTTTGCTGCTTCTTCGACCAGTTTGTCGGTTTTCGTTTGTAAGTCTTCGATTTTGTGTGACATCAGACATAAGTCATCCACGCGCGAAATCCAGATCTTCTAGGTTGTTCACATCGGTCCAGAATATCCGTGTCTTCTCGTTTCCCACTGTCTGACGCATAATCCAGTCCACCACAATTAGGAATATCATTGGTGATAATAAGCACCCTTGTCTGACTCCTGTGTTTACTCCAAACGCTTCGCTGAGTTTTCCGTTGTGGATCACTTGACATGTGCCGTTGTCGTATGGCTGTTGAATAAGGTTGATGAATATTTGCGGTACGCCGTAGTACTCGAGTAGTTTCCAAATTACTTCGCGGTCAACGCTGTCGAAGGCCTTCTCAAAGTCTATAAAGTTGAGGTAGAGGTTTGACTGCCATTCCATGCTTTGTTCGATGACAATGCGTAGAGTTGCAATTTGGTCAGAACATGATTTGCCTTTCCTGAATCCAGCTTGTTCTGGTCGGAGTTCTGTATCCAGTGCGTCCTTTATCCTCTCCAGGATGATGCGACTCAGGATTTTACTTGGCGTCGACAGGAGCATAATTCCTCGCCAGTTCTTGCAGAGTCCTAAGTCGCCCCTCTCTGATAGTTTCATAAGGTAACGTTTTCTCCAGTTATGCTATTTCTGTATGTGTGAAGTTAAACAAACCACAGTACTGCTCAAATACATCATGTCTTTTTTTATCTGAACTCGATGGATACGTAAATTTGGGTACTGGCAGTTACTGACATTGATTCCCGATCAGAAAATCGTCTGGTTCGCCACGTTAACTGAAGTTCCTGTTTTGAGCCATGTTAGGACGATAGATGGTTGATAATGAAGAGTGTGAAACGCCCTGGTTTCCAACGGTTCCCTAACTGATCTCATTTAGTGAAATAGCTTGAATTCTCTTAATTACTGAGGCACATTAACAATGTGCAGCCTAGAGAAGAATTTACCAATGAAGATATTCTGTAACCGTTATGTTAAATGACTCAATAGAACTCTCTAACTCAGAAAATAGTCAGTCAACTTTTGGTTCTCAGAAAAGTTGATAAATTTTCAGCTGAATACAGAAAATTGTCATTCTGAGTCTGAGGATTTTCACCGCTAATGAAATCTTGAAACAATCTTAGACATTTATTTAATCAGGACTTCTGGATTTCATTTTTTACTGAGACAAGGTTGCCCAACTGTCGAATTAGATTCCAGCAGTTAAGTTCATCTGTGACGATTTCAGTAGTAAAAGTTAGATATTTTGGATTGCCCATTGAGTCAGCTCTCAGTGGCCGAATGCTCTACCAGACTGCTTTGTAATCGGAAGGTACGTACCTCTCGAGCTGCGTACTTCCAACGAATCATAAACTAGGCTGACGAAACAACTGTCCAGTACTCCCTGGTGGTCGTATCCACTAACCATTTATAATACTAGATATTATTATTAATATTATTATCATTATTAATATTATAAGTTACTCACCATATCCTTACGAGCAAAGTAAACACTGAATGTGACCATTACAGCACCGGCGAGGATTCCCACAAGAAGAGCATACTTCATGGAAAGAAAACAAAGAGAAGAAATATAGTAAAGTTAATGAATCAAAAAGTTATTTGGAAAATTTAATTACTATGTATCTATTCTATGGTATTTTGTGGTGAGAGCTGGCTGCTAGCCAAAGTTGGTAGACAGTAATTGACGTCAATGTTTATGTCCCCAATATTGGTGGTGAGAAAATGAGAACAAAGGCTTTGCGTAGGCGGATACAGTTAGCATATGGATGATCTGACACAGCCACAAAGAGATGCAAGGTTAACTTTCTGTGAGAAACAACCAATCAAAAGACTGTATTTTATACTAACAATAATCTACAATAATGTACATTAAAATCTATAAATATGTGTTGATTTTCCTTAATAAACGATCTGTTGTCTGACCCTTTTCTTCTGTTGTTACATTTTACTTTGGAAGTTCCATAGTATATATATATATATATATAAATTATGCAAAAGTGACAGCTTTTACTTACGATATAAAGCAATGTCTTCATATTGCAACAAGCACCACAATAACCAAATACCGATATACCCGTACAGACAGCGCCCAATATGAAAAGAGCCATTCCAACAGGAGCTAGAGGTGAAGGAAAAATAAAGTTGCATTTAACCAAACCAAAATCAGTTAAACAACCATATCAAGAAATTGAGAACCATAAAATGTCAACTGTGTCCCATCATTATTTTATTGCGCCTATTAATCAGTTTTTGCTGAATTTAAGAGAAACGAGTTGTGCATCGGTCACATTGCAACATTATATATACATATTGTCATTGAGCAGTGCCTGGAATGGCACTCAGCTCTCTGTCTCAAATTCATCGACTTTGAAAAGGCCTTCGACGGCGTTGATTGAGAGGTGGTTTGGAAACTATTTTGCTACTACAACGGGGTGCCGCCAACAATTAAACACCTCATTCAACAGTTGTACAACAACGCTGCATGCCAAGTAATCCGCAAAGGGAAACTCACGGAATCCTACGAAGTGAAAACAGGAATAAGACAAGGCCGCCTTCTATCTCCAATGAATTTTCTGTTCTGATTGCCCTAGACTGAATAATGTGAAAGACAGCGGTGGGCAGCGAGGAGACACAAAACTTGGAGGCTGTGGATTTCGCCGATGATACATATGTCTGACTTTCCACAAGCTGGAAGATATGCAAGTGAGAAGCAACAGTTTGGCAGAAGCAGCATCAAAGAGAGGCCTCCAGGTGAACACAAAGAAGACAGATTTGCTGATGATGAAGATTCCTGGCCAACAGCAACCAAGACAACAGACAAAAACTTGCATAAATTGGAGAAATCTGAAAGAAGCAATCTCCTTTACCTACCGACCTGGGAAACATCATTTCAACTACAGGCGGAACTGACGAGGATATCAAAGCTTTGAGGATCGGGAAAGCCAGGCAAGCTTTCATTATTATTATCAAGTCTGTGTAGAGGTCAACACTCAGCGTGTAAAATAAGATCCGGATTTTCAACTGCAATGTGAAGTCAGCACTACTCACTATACGGTTCAGAGACTTGGCACTGCGCCATGTCACGAAGGCCACTTCGAACAAACTACAGACTTCCATCAACAGCTGTCTTCCGATTTTACACATATCTACTTAATACTAATTAAGAGACAGAAATCAGTAGTATAATACATAAGAGAATCAATAGTTTCACCAACAGTTCTCTTAATGTCCTTCCCACATATTTCTGCTTATAGCTTTTCATAATATACATATATAAATTATATTGGTGTACCCACATGTGCCAATGTACACAAAACATTCTCTGTCACAATACAAGTAGAATTAAGCATAAATATCAAAAGTAAAACATTTCTGTTTTATTGATTTTTGCGTATTTTTAAACTATTTTCAATAGAAGGAAATGACCAAAAAAAGACTACATTTTACGTTATTCACATATGAGTGCCACAAAAATGTCTGTAGCCATTTTTTTAGAACTTTTAAATACCTTAAGAAAAAAGCAAGAAATTACGAAAATACGTAAGTTAGAGAACCAACCATTGGAAAATCTGAAAGTACTAGAAAGACTTTTCGCCCAATTTTATACCTCTTCATCAGTACACACTCACCGGCGTTCTTACCAAGGAGCTTTAGATTATGAGGTGACCTGTTAGACCACTCAGACAGACACTAGGACCCACCGGCTATTCCATGAATTCCAATTACTGTCAACACGAGCTTTCCTCGTAGCGGGGATCTTCTTGTTTCAAACCCCAGGGAGTGGATACTTATGAAGAGTTCCGGACTAGGATGAAACAATTGTCCAGTACTCCGTCCCGTCAACAAAGAGACCGTCTATTCTCACAACTTCACTTTATAAGTGTACAGTATACATAGTGTTAATTGACAATAGAAGTTAGGGGTTATTGTCAGGAATTACAGTCACCCTTTTTGGGATTTCCAGGCCGTTGGAAAATGGAATTACTCACATAACTACCACAAAACTTGTGGTCTGCTTGATACCACTCACATTAACCAGTAAGTACTTCATGAGAGCTAGAAGCGAAGTTGCCTAAACTCAGAACAATCAGTTATACCACTGATGAGTTCCACTCGAAACGAGTGAAAAAGTCGTCCGACGTATAGATCACTTCAGTAAATGAGATATAACTACTCATATCACCTAATCAGTAGTACATTACATCACGCAAGAAAATTCAACTTGTCTTCCGTGCTTTCTTAGGCAGGCAGTGCATATATCAGTCTCACAAGAAATAAATTTTAGTATTATAAGCAGATGCAAGCATACAAGCATAAGCAGTTTTAACTAATGTTAGATAAGTCTGCATCGGCCTGCTGTTTTCATTAAGCCTGTTTGTCACATGACGTGCTCAGTATGTTGCACAAAGCTTTGGATACTAACAACGTGAGGATCGCTACGTATTTCAGTGCCTCCCGAGAGTAAAGTAGACCAATTACTGAAAATCTAATCCAATGAATCTTGTGTTAATTGTTGAATCCAATCAATATCTGCGCCGAGGATATCCACTGACGAGATACTTACTGCTTTTTGTAACTGACTTTGTTTGAAATAGCACACACACACACAAATACATGGAATGATGAGACAGTATTAGTAATAACTGCCTGATAATGTTTCGAGCACAGTTTTTTTTTACTGCTCAATGGTTAATACCACATGAGTGTGTGTGTGTGTGTTCACATGACTTTCTTCAAATTGCTTTATATAGATAGCCTTACTCCCACCTGTTCGTTTTATTGCATTGCGCTCTATATATAGCCATATATATCGATTGTACGTATTATTTGGTATTGACTTTGAAGAGAGCAACGATTCGATAATTGATCTTTCTCTTCACCTAATTACATTACACTTTATCTACCTTTACTCTTTAAATTCCGCTGTATTGTGTGTTTACATAAAAGTGTAGGCATTAGTAATGGTTGGGCTGCCTTTAAAATTATACAACTTGGTGCGTTCAGTCATTCTAAACCTGACTAAATCCTCATTTTCCGATAATCTGATCTACCCCAATAGAATGATCTCATATTGAACACATGATATTTAGCATATTACATCATTATTCTGATTTGACACTAGTAACTAGTGTGATGCGTCTAGTCCTCTCTTTGGTGCAGACTGAATTCTATCAGTCAGGTTGTAATGTGGCCACCATTCTAGGTAGCTCGCCATCACGGTGTACATTGTCTGTGATGATATGAGATGGTTGGAGGCAATTGGCAGGAAGCCTTGGACCTAGGTTTCGGGCTAGTTGGCACTCGTCAGCAAGGCGTATCTGCAACCTTGAAGGAACTCATGTCCTTTCTGAGATTCGAACCCACGTCACCCAGTGCTGCGGTCAGATGACCACATCTCTAAGTCATTTGGTTCGTTTAAATGTCACCCTAACGTCATCCCTATTAAAATATTCCTGTGTCTTAATACATTGTTGGGTGAATTCTGTTGAATGAATAATAATATGCAAGGATGTAAAAATATATGAAGTCGTGACCAGTAGGGTGCAGCAGGTGGGTCGGGTGTGAGGACAAATACTCGCCGAAGACGCGTTGGCTAGCGGTTGCGCTATATCGTGAATTGGCAGAAGTTAGAATTCATGAACTGGCCATTGGATCGGGTCCCAGTGACTGATGAATGGTCTACGAGCTCGCTCACCTTGTAACCAGAAGGTCCTGGGTTCGAACTCCGGCGGGGTGGGTGCGTACTGATGAAGAGTCCCAAACTAGGCTGACGAAACAGCTGTCCAGTACTCCCTGTGGGTTTTCCAATGGTTCAGTAACCAATTTCAGCTCATGATGAAATCCTGTAACCATATATGAAGTAATTTAAGAAGTATCTAGGCTTTGTGTTTGTTGGCACTCGTCTCAGGATTGACGTTCTGTAGGACTGTAATTGATACTTCGATTGATTCCTGGAGAGGAACCAGTGTTAGGTGTCGGTGCAAACTGAATTCTGTCAGTCGAGTTTGGCATGTGATCACCATAAGAGACTAGAATTCCTTTAGGGTGGCAGTTACACCAAGATGCTGAGTGCAAGCACCCACGAAATATAGTAGCATGCAATTATCATCATAACATGCGGTCTTCTTGATACACAAACTAGCAATCAGGAAAGCGAACATAAATGCATGAAAATCAAACCAAGTGATGATTCAGCGAAGAGACTCTTTTCAATGAATTTATCACCAAGCTGTCCAATCGTATGTATATGGTTTTTTTTAAGAAGTTATATCCGATGAGGGAATTGAATCATAGGTGTGAATGCACAAAATAATAATAATAGTATTTTTTTAAAATTTTGGTTATAGCTTGAAACCACACAGTATTTTTGGTCCAAGTATGGAATTCTCAGCATGCGATATCGGTAGCCCAAATTTTGCAGGCCGATCATTGATATCAGGTGTGCGTCGGCAGGGGATCGAACCTCGGACCATGTGCATGATCGACTAGAGTCCGAACCAATGTGCCACCGATGAAATTAAAACTAAAATGTTTGTGATGATAATCACATTATAGGTTTCCAGGCCGTAGGTGTTACGAACTTCCTGGAATAATTTGAGCGCCGAGTCAGATTGATTCATTATAAATTATTTAAATTTCATCCCAGAGTGTTAAAAAAAATCAAAACAAGATCTGTTTTCTGAACGTTTCGCTATGTAAGCTGCCACAGCTTCTTCAGCAGATTTATTCGAATTTTTATTAATCATCAAAATATGTAGTCAGAAATTACTTACATAAATTGAAGTCAGTCTATTTGAAGGTCATTAGTCCATGGAAATTTTTTTGTTACCAATAGAAATATGTAAGCAGTCATCACATTTATTTGTAATGACTAATGTCAAATTGTTGTTGTGTAAATTTTTCTATAGTTGATTTGTAAAGATTAGTTTTGTATGAGTGTGTATGAGTGTATGTTATTTGTCATGTGGAAAATACGTGAATTCACACTTGATAAACATGATATTACATGTTTTAAAAGGTCATGGAGGCTCATAGAGTGGTTATTGTTTTTTCATCTGTATTGCTTCATAAGAGTTTGCCATATAGGTGATGAGTCTACCCCCTTCTTTCCTATCCACT